TGGGCATGAGGTGCTCTTCCTAAGTCTTGAGTTACTCCCACTTTGATTAGCAAATACTGGACCTCATGCACAAATGGCATTTTTGTCTAATTTAAGCTAACTGCACAAAAATAGCCAAAAGAAGGCTAGGTAGGCAGAACTATACCCAGTCATACTGATACCCCAGCTTTCCACCCAAGAGAGCAGCATATGTAGGATTGTCCCATTTGCTCTCACCAGTAATCTATGAGATGCATTGAACAGATCAGGTGAATTTCATGAATGTGCAGGGATTTGACGCCAGGTTCCCTTTCCCCCGCCTCTCTCCTAGTTCTATTCAACACTCTATTCTATTCGCCTTCTCCTCATACACTAATAACAGACTAACTTTCAGAGTGTACAGACTTGTGTACCCAAGGGGGTACAGTCTGTACACCAGAAGGAGCACATAAGGTGTAGTCCTTGGTTTGTGGAGGTGGGGGTGGATCTTCAAATTTTGCAGCAGTCGGAGAAAAAATTACAAAGCAAGAACAAACAGATCAGTGAGCATTTCACATACTCAGTGGCATGGAATGCCGATGGGGCAGGGGAATGGAATGATGTGTCCTGGATGAGAACATGGCTGGCAAGCCTGGCTGAAGCACCGAACAGGAGCATATCAGGCTGCCATGTTTTCTTGCAGGCCCCACTTGTCTGATGCACTAGGCAAAGCAGTTCTTTACAGTGTGAAGTACTTCCTACCTATTCATCTCCGAGACCCATCACATTCTAAAGCAGGGGTGGGCAATTAATTTTCCTGTGGGGCCACATGAGAAACTTTGACAGTTGTTAAGGGCCGGACCAATACGCTTACAGCTCTGCTCCATATATATCTCCATAAAAACAGTAAATGAAACATTACAATGATACAATGAAAATGTGAAGCACAGAACAACACTATTTAATGAATATTCACAAAAACATTAACATTACATGAAAAGCAATAAATTCAATTCAATTTAGCAGATCCTTCAAAATAAAAACAGTGTAGTTGTATTGCTTGCATCTATATTATGACAATATATTATGACTTTTAGTTTGCCAGTGACCTCATGCGGGCCAGTCAGGAAGCATAATGCAAAATCTTTCTGAGTAGATTTGGAGAAACGTGGGTGCATAACCAGGGAAAAATTGTAGGGAATTCCTCTTGAGAGAAATGCATACAACTCTCCCTGTCCCTCCTTCAGCCATGCAATTTTTTTTCCTGAAGTAACTGCCAGGTTTCAGCTCAGGATACAAGTGTTGCGCCTGTTGCTCTTATAGTTCATCTAAACATTTCTTGTCCTTTTACTCTGCAAAGCTATCTTGGGCATTTTGCCACTTGTTCTTTGCGTAAATTGTTACTGATGTCTTCCAATAAGATGGTAAATATGAACTAGCAGGTAACTTAATTAAAGGCAGAAAATGCATTAATATAATGATTTTTACTGACTCTCAAATATTACCTAAATGTTTTTATGCGTTTACAAAATATATTCTGGTAGACAAGTATAAAGAAAATCAGACTGGAGCTAAGTGATGTTATCATTTTGTTCTTTTATGAAAACCTGAACTTTTCCATTATAGTCGGTTTACACAAGTACAGTTATGACTCAAGTCCTGGCAGGATCCATTTGATGCTGCTTGACTGCCCTCTACAGGCTGCCAAGAAAGATGCTGGACCAGTTCATTAGGAAGTGACAGATTCCACTAGCAAGGAGAGCTGCCAGGCTTTCCAGCCTTGCCCCCTAAATGGGATTTTGAAAGAAGGAAATAAGTCTCAGCTCACCAGCTGACAGCAAAAAGCAAACATTTTGCTTTCCTTTGACTCCAAATGAGTGTTCAGTGTCGAGGGTCTTTATTTGGCTTATTATCATGGTGCAGAGATATTGGTTTTCTTTTCCCAGGAAGCGCAATGCTGTGTTTAGACAAGGAAATGCGCATTTCTTCCAAAACGGCATTCAGAGTTCTATTTAGTTTCAGTATCTTTTACCTTTTTATTTGTTTAGCAATGATTGCATTAATCTGACTTGAATGGCTGTTGCTCTTCTGGGCCTAAATGTGGCCGTAATTAGAAAACAAACAAAATTCGTAGCAAGGTCATATTTGGCAAATCTTGGCAAGGAGAATGCCAGTGTTTTTTGGAATTGCCCGCTTCCCAGTAGCTGGCACATCACATGCAGAATGGAATTGTGTTTCACAGGATGAAGGTTAGTTTGATCTATGATGGTGGCAGCAACTGATTAATATGTGTCTTCCACTAAGCCCAAGAGTTGCATTTTTTCCTTCCTCATATATAGTCATAAATATGTAAGGATTCAATCCAAGTTTAATTTGTCAGGGCTTACAGAGTTTGAAAGGAACAGGGTGCATTTTTAACAGGTGTAAATGGTTGGTGATGTTGAGGAGACTTCACTGGAAAAGTGCCTTGAAAATAAATCTAAGAACATAAGAGCCCTGTAGGATCAGACCATAGCTTTGTCTAACCTGGCTTTCTGTTCCCACAGTGGCCAAACAAATGCCTATGGGAAGTCCAGAATTACTGACAAAACACTTTATTGGTCCTCTTTTTCGCACACATGATGGTGGTGCCTTTTTCTGTAACACCCTTAAAATCCTTTTATCCAATACCGTTAAAAGTTGTGCTTTGAAAACAAATGTTATGGATTTAGAAGATTAGGAAGAGAAGAGGGAGCTGAAAGAGGGAAGGAAAGAGAGAATGTATTTCCAATTTGTGCTAACTTCAAAGGAGCAATTTTCTGTTTTCTTCAAAAGGCCAAGGACCCTTGGTTGTGGCTGAAATTTACACAGTGACATTTGGCTTTATTTTACATAAGCTTCCTTAAAAGTAAATCCAACTTTATTCAGTAGAGGTTGCATCCAGGCCAGTGTGTATTGGACTGCAAGTTGGCCATGTTGCTTTGAACACTTGCCTGATCAGTAAGCCCTGTTGAATACAGTGAGATGTAATTCCACCTAAACTTTAATGGGAACAGGGAGTCTCTGGCCAAAAGTATTTTTCAGACAGTTTTCTTCCTGAGAACTCTGCTACTTCCTGAGATGAATAACTGCAAATCTTTCCAGATCTTAAATAACACAGAGATAAAGGAAGCAAGATCGTGAACTAGTGCAGGTAATCAAGCCTACTCAGATAATTGTGGGTTCTTAGTTAGGTATGAAACCCAATACAAAGGCAGCCTTGCTCTTTGTAAAACAAAGCAGGAGACGAAATTACTTGTTCAATCAATCCATCATATGCACTGAAAGTTTACTCAACACTGAGCTGAAAACCTGCAAAGGATATGCTTCCTTTTTAAAAGAGGGATGTGTAGCTTTTTTGCACATCCAGTGCACAGAACTGCACCACTCCTGGAGTATTCCTGGAAAATGCTAGAGAGCCACCAGGAGACCTGGAATATGGCTCCCTAGGATATTCTGCAACACTAGGAATGGGACTTGATGGCAAGATAGCAAGTTTCTAGAGCATTCCCTTCCCCGCTCACTTTATTTTTTAGTTTTTGTACCTACAAGTAGATTCTGAGAAGCCAACAGACAGATCTTTATATTTTGGGGGGGTAGGGTGGGGGGAGGTCTATTTCTTTCAACCCTGTACTCCTGGCAAAGAGAAGTTATAGACTCTGGGTCTACCCTGAAAGTCAAAACTGTTTTCTGAATACATATGTGAATACATATGTGTGCATGTGCAGATGAATTAGTATACGTTCTTCTGTGTCTCAGTTTACTTCATTTTTGTGCTCTTTTGAAACATAAGACCTCAGTGCAATGCATACCTCTCGCTCAATAAATTTGGTAATATGTATGGAAAGGTATAAAAATAATTTTGAGAAATTCCTGAGGAATGAAACTCCCTGTACGTTTTGTAATTTACAAATGATTTGCACAGTTAAGTAGGTTTAAAGTTACAGTAGCAATAAATGTTGAATGTTGCACTGTTGGACTCAACTTGTGAAATGCAGTGATAGTTCCCAGAAGAAAATGCAGATCTGGAGGAACATTTCAGTTATCAGATGTTCTTTTCAGTGATGTACAGTGTTATGCATCTCCTGTAGAAGCACCCTTGAGGAATGCTCTGCTTTTTGGTCATTTTACAACATTTCTATACCATTCCACATCCAAAGTGACTCCACAGATATACGATAAAAAAGGTTCAACCCCCATATTAAAGGGTTTTTTTGTTGAAAGGAAGCAAATGGCACTAAAACTCTGGCTGGTCAGTCCAGGAAGGATTCTTGAAATGAAGATTTCCACAGGAGAAGCTGAAAACAACCTGAGCTGGGAGGTCCACAGAAAGGGAGGTGCCATGCTGAAGGCTTCTATCCAGTGTGCCATGCAGTTCATAAAATAAATCTATAATCCAATATACCCCCACCTTGAAAACTTTCAGATTCACCACCCTTTCTTTCCCATCCATAGATACGCAGCTCTATATGATGGGCTATATGTGCGACAGACAGGCAAGCTAAAACAAGCACTTGTGCCAAGAAACACTCCAGTGCAGCGTATTTCATTTTGTCACCTTCCTATCTGCTTTTGGCACATGAGAATAGTACAAATTCTCCAGTCTTGGACTGATTAAAATAAGGATTCTACAGAATGTGCCAGGAGATAGGACCTGATGTTATTTCTTAGGGATGGAGCCTGGAAAATGAGTAAGCAAAGCAGATGCTACAAGTTTGATAGTGGTGGAAGCAAGAACTAATAAAAATCCATGCAGAACAAACACTTTGCCAACTTATAACGTATGCTAGATTGGTAAAGAAAATAGACCATTTAGAGTTCAGTTGTCTACATATCCTGGCTCTGCAAGACCTATTGATGAACCAGTTTGTTGTGTAATTGTACTGCCTCGTTCACAGAAATTTTACAGGCTTTTTTAAAATACAAGCTAGCGTTTGTGGGGAAATGATGCATATAACATTTTAATGTCAAGTTAACCTGTATGGTTATTAAAGTTGACTGTGTGCCTCTCTGTGACTTTACAGGCAAGCTAATGAAGAATATCAGGTGTTAGCAAACTCATGGCGCTACTCTTCAGCCTTTTCAAACAAACTTTTCTTCACTATAGTTGATTATGATGAAGGCGCTGACGTTTTTCAGCAGGTAAGAGTGGGACTTGTTTAATTACAGAACTGCTCTCTATGGATCTCTTTTTCAAGGCCTGTATTAATGTTCTTCAAGGACAATCATATTACCTCTTGGCAGTGTCTGAGGACCGTAGGATTTTTTGGTTTCCCAGAATGGAAGTTGGATCACGCTTTCCATCCTCAGAGCTGTGGTTTGTAGATCTACTCCCCTGCCCCCTTGTAGCTGCCATGGAAAGAATGGCACCAGCTGTTCTCCAAGGTACAAGGGAGCATATTGGGAGAAGAGAAGGAGACTGGGGAGGCAAGATACAAGGTTCCTTGAAGTTGCTTCCCTCTCCCTCTGAAATATTTCAGGTAAGTGGGTGAAAAAGTGCATTGAGTGAAAATGCAAACCAGGGAGGTCGGGGAGATGGAAATTGCCTCTACTGCTTTTTCCACTCTGAATGTGATTCCTGTAAGCCTCTGAGTTTGGGGACTTAGCATGCATCCCAGTAGGATTATGCCCTTCATTGCCTTAACATTTCAGAAATGCTTTGTTTATTTACTTTCCTTTTTAAGGGGAAGCACAAGCACAGAAAATGGATAGATTTTTGTTTGTTTGAGATTACCGATGTACAAAAATCAACACACTGCATTAGCTACTACCAGAGAAACATTGTAAAACAATGCATCTGGTGCCTACACATATTAATATATTTATCACTATTTGGTGTTGTCCAATTTCCTTAACCTGAGGTAGGCAGAAAGAAGATTACCCTGTATTTTGGACTTCACTTTCCAGTGTTCTTGACCACTGGTCATGATGGCTGGACCTTGCAGGAGCTGAAGTACCAAACATGTGGCAATCTATAATTAAATAAGAGATTGTCTGTTCCCCTAATTTGTAACAGGTCAAAGTAGTTCCCTAAGTACATACATAATGCAGAATTGTTTTCTTCCCCTGAAATCTTTATCTTATGAACAGGTATGGAGAAGAGGAGAAGGGAACAGAGCTTGTATGGTACCAGTTTGGATTGTCAACTGAGTCAGCTGCTATGTCAGTCGGGGAATAGCTTAAGAATTGACCATAAGATACAGAGTCTATTAGGATAAGAGAGGTTAACATAAGGTTAATGGTTTCAATTGCTGCTGCCATGTTATGATTTGGTTTATGATTTTAGCACCAGGTTTTATCTCTTGTACTTTTTAATTATATTTAAATGCATTTAATTTTTTTCTAAGATGTTCTTAAATAGATTTCTCAAATTTATGTGTATTTTTATTATTGATTTGTTTTTTACTATGGTTTTTATTATGTATTGTTTTAAATACTTTATGAACTGTTTATTTGTTGCATAACATGTTGTGAGCCGCCTAGAGAGCCTTATGGCCAATGGGACAGCGCACAAGTCAAACAAATAAATAGGAGGAAACATGTAATTTGATGTAAGGGAGCATAAGCTAAATATTTTTACGGCACTTAAATTTTTAAGGTCAAACTACAGGTTAGAGTGGACACAGAGCAGCTCTCTAAAACAGGCTCTCCATGCCATGTCTGCACTTTCTACATGATCTATATCAATGGTCTGTGACCTCACTGCACCATGTATGTCTTTTCTTCGTGGTTGTGTCCTGCTGCGTGGGACAATGCATAATGCTGGTTTTGGTGGCTATGCTATGTTTGCTGCGATGTGCAGTTTTGCCATTATACTTGTCCCTTCCCTATGTGCTCTTCCTCCTCTCCCCTGCCACTGCTTGAGTAATTTAGCTCACAGGTCAATTGATCTGCTGACTTACAGAAAGGGAGGGAAAGCCCTCACTTTCACTGCATCACAAAGCAACTTTCAGTCTTACTGAACAAGGCTATGCACTGCTTTCTGAAATATTTATAAATAAATAAATAAATAAATAAATAAGCCGATGCACATATTTGCTGTTTTGTAACATATTGGGCTGTCAACAAATATTCAGTGGAGAAAGAGAATTTGCTGTACTTGGAATAAATCCAATTATTTAACATCCAACTTGATCATTGTGCATAATTTGAATTTGCAGTTTTTAAATAATGCATTTATGTAACGTAATTTAGTTGTGTAGCAAGCATACAGCTCTGGTAATGAAAGTGGCTGTGTATGTATATATCATTAGCAACAATCTTGTTCTATCCCTCTTGCTAGCATGCAGCTCTGTCTCCCATCCCTTCTTCCAAATTTCAGTGCAGCCTTATTTACACATATCCCTTGGAGTCTTGAAATGTAGAGTATGTGTAAGTAAACAATCCTGCACTTTATTCATGGAAAGTAATTATAATATTTAGCATTTATATGGTGCTTTAGAATATACACTGTTCCACATGCATTTAACACTTAATGATTACCATGGCCCTGCAAGGTAATTTGGTATTATCATCCCCATGTTGAAGCCGGAGGTCGAGAGAAACTTAGTGAATTGTTTTAACGCCAGCTAGTTAAATTTTATATATTGTACTCTTCGATACTGTAACTGTACTCAAAAAGATTGACAAAGGCAAAGAACAGGTATGCTTATTTAATATTTGATGGCGTCTCCGTTGTCTGTTGTAGCTCAATATGAACTCTGCTCCAACGTTCATGCATTTCCCTCCGAAAGGTAAGCCCAAGAGAGCTGACACATTTGACCTGCAGAGAATTGGATTCGCAGCAGAACAGTTAGCTAAGTGGATAGCTGACAGAACTGATGTTCATGTAAGTCACTTGACAAAAGTTAAGAGACTGATCCTCACTTATCTTCATGTTCTGTGACAAATTGACCTAGGAACTGTGGTTCCCCCACCTTCCGCTGCCTCCAAGGGACTTTTTCCCATAAGAGTCTTCCACAAAATCCATTAAAATAACAAAAGTGCCAGCTGTTTTATTTCATCACTGTCTGATAGCTAAACAACCCCCAACACAAAAAGATGTCTTTCACTCTGTTTTGATAACTAAAATATTAATCTTTCCAACAGAAGAGGAGGAATGATAGTGTTCCAATTATTTTATTAATGTGAGCATGTAAATGAAATACTGCTTATTCCAAGTTTGAAGGATTAAAATGTTCTAGATGTGCAATTGTTAAATATTTTGAAGAATTTTATTTAACTATGTACACTTGTAATAGGCAAGAACACTGTTATGAAACCATTTTTAAAGCAAAACTAGGGATATTGCTAGAATTATAATAATCCATCTGACTGAGAGGATGCTAAGGAAGCTCCTCTAATAATTATAATGCTAAAAGCAACTTGAGTTGATGCATGGGGTGGAGGGACAGGGTGGTGACTGGGAGGGAAACTTAATTTCATATTAAAAATAGGTCCTGTAGTCTGTATGTCCGGGAAAAAAATCAGCTGCAATTTACCAGAAACTTCTGTTCAAAGCTCACAGAAACAAATGAAGTTACACAGGAACCCTTGTACAGTCCCTTTCCATTTCACTGAGTCTTGCATGGGAGAGATTCCCAGTGAAAGTTCATTCAGCTTGCCTCCCTGATTTAGACGAGCATCTTGCCGGACCCTCTCGCTTGTGTCTGTGCTAAACCTAGCATAATCTTGCTGCTCTCCAAAGGTAGTGTAATACCATTGAGGCCATACCAGTCAAGAATTTAAGCAAGGCACTTATTGTTTCTCCAATAAATGCAAAAACAGCCAGAAGAAACTCCTGGCACCAGATAGACAGAGCCAAGTCGAATGCTACTGAGTGGCTATGCCATATAATAACACTATCCTCATAAATGCCATATGAAGATTGACTATCATGTATACAGAAAATCAGTATGCAGGCAGTCATTGTATTAGTAACGATGAACAATGTACCTAATTTTTTCAATGCTAACTTCATGTCAGATACTTTTCAGGAAAGCAGGGTACAGGAAAGCACTTATCTTATACATACGTGTCTAGACAAGGAGAGTTGATGTACATGTCTGTAGAGAGGGGATCCAGCTCTCACATATCACAGTCTGTTCAGATGGATTCATCGGATTCTGAGAAGAAGGCAGAATAGCAAAGAGGGCAGAGGACTTGCCAGTTTCAGGGTTACCTAGTAAACCTGTTTAGGTTTATCAGAGTGTGAGAACCAGCCTGCCTTGGGAAGGGAGAAAAGCTTTTTGGGGCCTGGGGGCAGGGACAGGTAGAAGAAGACCTTCTTGACCCAGTCATGAAATGACAGAGGAACTGAGTAGACCAATTACAAAGTGTCTGACATTCGCTCCATCTAGACCACAACAAGCAGGAGCTGCCCTGAAGGTGGATTCAGAAGATTTATAGAAAAAGAGGGATGAAGGAAAAGTTTCAGTTTGGTTTTATATGGACTTGTATGGACAGATGCTTCTTTGATGCCTACTGTTCTGTAACCAGTTTTAATAAAAGAACAGCATTTTGAGGTTTCACTTTGGGACTTATGAAGGTGAGGGAAGAGGTAGGCAACCTCACAACAATAATCTGCTTCAGAGTATCCTAAGAGTTGTTAAGGCATTATATGAGCTCTTAGTTCTTGTGCTCTGTCTCCTGGTTTTCCACAGGGAACATCATAACTGATATTTCCTGTTGTATCTATGGACAAAAGTCTTAAGTTGTTCCTATTTCTGGCCATTTCCTACTGCCACCTCCTCCCCCATTATTTTAGGTTTCTCCTTTCTTTCTTATGCAGAATTGGTGTGACTGGATTCATCTAGGCACCTTGCTAATTTATCTTCCAGTTGTCGCATGCAGAATCATTTGTGTGCCCTTCTGATATTGCCCCTCCATATCAGTCACAGCTATGCTGGCTGGGGATGGGTTTCAGTAAATATTGGAAGCTGTGAGAGTAATGTGCAGGTTGGGTTTGCCATCAGCTCCTGACCCAACAACCAGCACAGCTGGGCACATCCTTGTACGTTATGCATGCTTTATTACATTTTTGTAGTGATCTGGGTAGCTGTATGCAATGATTCTTTCCCGCTTCCTAATGGAGAATATGAATTTGTAATAGTTTATTTTAAAATAAAAATATGGTGTAAGCCACCTTGAGTTTCTTGAAAGAAAAAGGCAGGATATAAATAACACCAGTGCAGCATAGTGGTTAGAGTACTGGAGTGGACTCAGGAGATCTTGATTCTAGACTGCACTCAGCCATGGAGCCAACTGAGTGACTTTGGGCCAGTCACAGACACTCAGCCCAACCAGCCTCACAGGGTTATTGTTATGATGATAAAACTGAAAGGAGGAGGATAATTATGTAAGCCATCTTGAGTGCCTTAAAAGGAAAAAAGGCAGGATATAAATATAATAACAGTCAATCAGTAGTGGAAAGAGATTTGTTGTTTTCACAAACCAAATCTCCATTTAGACATGAGAGAGAGAGAAAGACAGAGGGGCAGAATGTATTGCTCAGTCCTGGTTCAACAATAGAAGTTCAGCATTTTATGCTACTTTACCAAGCTAGTATTCGAAGTAAGGTAGTATGGTCTATCCTGATTGTTCTGGAAAAAATATGGGAAGGCTATGTCCCCCTGTACCCTACCTCCAAACTCACAGGACTTGATTGAGTGATCTCTCTTTTTTGTTAGATTTTTCAAAATTGTAAACAAGTGAACATTTTGAATCTAGAGCTGCATCATTCCATTTGATTGGGCTGTATGGGGACCTTCCCCGCCCCCATCACTGTAGGCAGCAGCCTCTGCTTAGTATTTGAAACCTGTGACTGGAAATGTGTATACTGTTACATCACGAAAGTAGAATAATACTTGCTGGTCTTCTGTTTTACAGATTAGAGTGTTTAGGCCACCAAACTATTCTGGCACTATTGCACTGGCCCTTCTGGTGTCCTTGGTTGGTGGTTTGCTCTACTTGCGGCGAAATAACTTGGAATTCATCTACAACAAGACTGGCTGGGCAATGGCAGCACTGGTATGGGCACTTTTAAAAATGTTTCTTTCAATCATTTATTTGTTCATATAACAAGGTTTCCAGTCCCATTTGCACTGTTAATGAGAAAGCACTGCATTAATAAATAGGTTAGAGAGAGGCAGCATTGGTTATGAAATCAAAACAGAAACAGCTGGGCCAAATCTCAAGGGCGATAAACACGGCTAGTTGGGAAGGGCATGCAATTAAGAGGCTGCCAATCCCTTGGTTAATTGTTAGGGGTTCAAGCATTGTTAGTAGAAGTTGGCTAAAATGACACACTTTTCTAAAGTTCATAGAGATGAGGATTCTAACTTATGACTCACTGTTGCTTTGAATTAGAGGGCCAGTGCTTTTGCTATTCAAACTATGATTGTGACTTATTTATTGTATATTTAAATAAAGTTTATTTAAATAAAGCTGTTTATGGCAACTGAAGACAGAGCCAGGCATTTGGAAAGTTAGCTTGGAAAAATATCATGAGCTGTGTAGCTGCAGGTAATGTTAGGTACTTGAACAAAGCGTTTGCATACTGTCTGTCCGGGAGTGGTGGAATATACAGCATCACAGGGTTTATCTCCCTGAATCTGCCTTAATTTTTTACCATTTTTATCCTTATCATGAATTTGTGTGGTTTAACACTTCATTTCAATATTATACTGCTGTTGCTGTCCTGTTTATTTCTCTCAACCATGAGGGAAAGGTAATTCTATTCTAAAATATTGTGGAGGTTAGCAAATCAAACTCTTGTTCTCCTTCCCCTTGCAGCCTATGAAGACAATCAAATGATGGATATGGTGGAATGCCAAGGCAGAAAACATGCCATTTAGAGTAGTATCTATATTCCCCATGTGCTAAAGTCTTCCATCTATTCTTGTGTACTCCCTGCCTCAGTAATAAAAACTGGCACGCCATACTGGAAGCAGAAACAGCATGTACAAACTTACCTTTCAATTTCTTTTTCATAGGGTCTGCCCCACATCGGTCGGTTGGTTGGTCAGTCTGTCTGCCTGTGTCTGTCTGTCTGTCTAAAATAGAAATCCAGCTTTGTTTTTGTCCATCTACTCCATTCGATAATGGTGGCCTTTGCTGATTGAACAAGCTTGGTCTCAGTTGCAATTCTTGAAAGACATACAGATGTGTTAACCTGACCCAAGATACATAAACTTTTCTTCCTTTGGGTGCAGCTAAAAAGTACAGGAGAAAGCCTTCCCTGTATATTCAAACTTTTTCTGCTTAAGAATGAAAAGGCAAGGTAGCAAGAACTATGTAAAGAAAGTTGCATACTTAACAACTGGCTTAACATGCATATAATCTTTTCAAAAACCATCTATATTCTTGAATTGCTCAGATCCTCTGATACAGGAATGTTGCATTTATTCAGTAATTTCTAAACACCATTTAGCAGATCATTATCTGCATAAGGAAGAATGACAGGGATGAGATCTTCTGTTGGAATATTAAGATTCAGTGATGGGCTCATTATTGGTTTTACAACTAGTGAGCTTAAAACCCCCAGCACTTTACTTCTTTTAAGGAAAGGATCTTCTCTGAAGCTTATTGGTATGCTTTCTGAGACACAAGGGAGTGCAAATACTCTTTATCTAGGGGTTGCTTCATTGTTTTCTCTTGAATTTTTTCTGCTATTCTTTTTGGCAACTCCATTTTCACGTAGTTTTGATATGGCTTCACAAAGGTATTTATGGAGTCCTCTTGCTATGATAGTATAGGAAACAGAAGAGGGCTGTTGCTATTTTTGTAGATGGGATGTGAGAGCAACCAATTTCACTTTTAAGACATTAAGTTTACATGACTACCAACTACAATTTGTGTTTCTACCATGTGTTTCTATGGTGTGATTTTTCTGAAAGGTAGGTTAGGCAATTACCTGAATATATCTCACCTTTCCTAGATTTCACCTGTTTGAATAAAATGGTAGAATGAAAAGATCTGGAATGAAAAAGTAACCATAAAAAGATTTTAGCAGATGCAGACACAGTTAGTGGAAACTAACCAAGTGGAATTACTGCAAGCCGTCCCAAGACATTCTGTAGGGGTCGGGATAGAAAACCTTCTAATAAATAAATAAAATAAATTCAGTATATCAGTGAGCACCATTCCAAGGAGATTTATATTTAGTTTCTTCACTGGAGTTGGGAGCATTAGATTCCATGGAGTGAAATCTGAGACAGCTTGAAGATGTACTAACATGAACAGGAAAGCGGTGCTGAATCCTTTAACAAGGGCAAAAAGTTATAAAGGACACAATAAAATGAGCCGAGTTTTGCAGCATTGTGAAAACAAAAGCAGCTGTGGAGGAATTGAAAAGAAGAGCAGCTTTCTCCATGAGTCCAGATTGCTGTTAGTTTCCATGTGTCCTGCTTTTCTAATCAGCCTGACATAGATCTAGAGGATTCATATAACGGCATGAACTCCCTTTGCCTCCAGGCTGCATGTGAATTCAAATGGCCCATTAATGTAGCTCATTAGCTTTCACAATAATTATATCCTAGCTTCTTGTTTATTCATAGTTAATCCATTATAATGGTGAGAAGAGGGCGCAGTCTAGTCTGTGCAGTTGTTCAAATGGGGAATAGGTACATGGCTGTCGAAACAGCTCTTAACCAGATTCATGTCAATCAATAGGCAGCTTGTGCTTCAGAGCTGTCTGCAGCCTCACACAGTTCTAACCACAAGCTGCATTTTGCTCCCTGCTGGACCTGAGATTATCATATATATGTGCATTAAGCTCACTAAGCTTTAGGAGGAGTGACACAGTCATTAACTTGTTTGTTGGCATACAGATAGTTGACAAGCCACATTTACTCCCTTTCTATTCGGTCCCCATTCCCATTCTCTGACATGCTGCTTGTTGGTTAGCAATGGAGAATCCTTGTCCGTGCAAACACAATTAGAAGATGAAAGAAGGTCCCTGCATTATGGTTGGTGATTATTTGAATCCACAGGTGTGGGCTGCTATTCCATTTGTATGCCCTTCTAAAATTCCACTACTCTGGGAAGTTGCTATTTTAAATGTCTCGCGGTGTGCCAGAATGCCTGAGGTAGCGAGACTCTGAGGCACTATGGGAAATTTAAATGGCAAGATTCTTTCCATTTGCCACTGGCAAATACACCTTTGGCCAGGGAATGGGTGGGCAGGAAGGTCAAAGCTGGGTTTGTTGACCACAGGCTCACCTGAGGCGCTTGGGCCTCACTACTTGCCTTTCAGAGAATGGGTTTGAAGAGCCTGTGAGCTTTTGCTTTGGGAAATAGCTTTTCCCCCTATAATGTATTTGTCAAACCTCTACCACTAACTTGTAGTGAGCTAATTTAAAATATATCATTGGCCCACAGGTGGGACATGAAAAAAACAGGATCCAGAGGGGGGAAAAGAAAAGGCAGCATCCCAGAAATAAATGGCCATGGCCCTCAGTTCATGGAACAAATGTCCCCACAGGCCTCCAAAATGCCAAGTGTCTCTGCAGGCTCAAAAATGTCTCCCTACCCCTTCTCTAGTCTTGCAAACACTTGTGCTTAGAGGATTGGTTGTAAGCAGCAAAAAGCACAACCTCCTATTATCTCATTCATGGGTGCCAAAATGAAGGCCATGCAGTTTAATTTGGAAGCCCATGCTCTTTATGATAAGCTTTTCTTCCATGTACATGTCAGTGCAGGAGAGGCCCTCATGGTAGTCAATGGCCAGATGCCATTCTTCCCCTGCAGTGGTGCTCCGTTTTGATATTTTACTTGGGAGATTAATACATCTTCCCCCGTGGTTGTCCCTAAACTGTGGAATGGCCTGCTGTGAGAGATGCATCGGAGATGCAGACAACTGTTTGCAAGACTCCCTCTTGCTACCTTCAAGAGGGAACATTCCTCTTCGACCAGGTGTTCCCATATTAGTTTCATGCTTGTTTTTAGTCAAAATTTTAATTTCTTTTTGTTTTAATCTCTCAGAGCCTTTGAAAATGGGGTGGTATAGAAAAATAAAAATAATAGTGGCCTGCCATCATTGTTCTCTTTTCTACAGCTTGATGTAAGCAGCATTCAGGGGTATAAGGAGGTGTGGAAAATTCTCTAGCAGCCAGCTTCAGTGAGAAAGTCTGTAATAATTACTACACAGGCAGTGGCATAGAAGGAAAGTTTAAAGCCAGAGCAGCAGAACAGTTTGCTAAAAGTCTCCCTACCCCACAGTGTTCCCTAATACACCTCCATACTTCAGGTGGCTGTTTCAATCACCAGAAAGCAATGGTTTGAGGCCATAATTGCAGTGCCAAATACCTTTTATGTCAGCCCTCGTTATGACCAATGACAGATGCATTCTGCCAGCCACTGGGTCTTTGCAGTTCAATAACTTTCATAGATTTCTGCTAACACTCTTATTTTGCAGCAGGTAGTCCAAAATATCTTGCTCGTCTTCCTCCGCCACCCTCATTGCTCTCTTTTTAGGTCAGACTTTCAAATGCCCCATGCCAGTTAATAACTAGACCAAGAATGGTCAGTTTTGGTGATTGTTGATTTAGACAAAAAGGATCAGGACAAGGAAATGTATGACTTTTTTCCCACAAGATTACATAGAGGGTGATCCAGTGGGGTATAGACTATGATTAGGCCAATGGTAAAGACACCCTCCCTCTTTCAGCATGCCAGTCATTAAATGCAAAAGTGAGGTTGGGGAGAGTGCTCCACATTCTACTAATTTTTAATGCCGGTTTGGAGGGCACACTTATAATCGAGATGAAGGAGCTAAACTTAACATTCATAATATTGCATTTGCGTATCCCTCCCTGAACTACTAAAAGAAGAGCAAGACAAATGATGTGGTCCCTCCTTTGACAAAAACTAATTTTAGGGAACATAAAGCATCAGCAGTCATCTTTAAAGTGTTATCTTAGGCTCAACTTGAATTCTGACATTAGGACATATCCCAGTTAACTTTATGCAACTGATTGGCGGGAGATTTAGCAGAGATAGAAAAGGAGTACTTCATCACACGGCATATAGTTAAACTGTGGAATTTCACTGCAATGGGGAGTGGTAATGCTCGCCAATCTGGATGGCTTTAAAAAGGGATTGGAGAGATTCATGAGGGGGGAGGCACTCCGTGGCTACTAGCCCTGTTGGCTGTGTGCTTCCTTCTGTACTGGAGGTGGCATGCCTGCACGCATCAGTTGCTGACGATCTTGTCTTGCACCCATCCTGCTTGAGGGATCCTGTGGGCGGCTGGTTTGCCACTGCACGTACTGGTCTGATCCAGCACATCCCTTCTTATGTTCTTATGACCATTTTCTCTTTTCTTGTCTTTTGTGACTGGTTAAAATCCAAACATCAAGATTTTTTTTAAAAAGTGTGCTTCTAAATTACTGGCATAGATTGCCTGAGCATGTGGCTTGCAGTTGTTCTTCTTACTATAAACTGTGTTCTGTTGTTTTTCAGTGCGTTGTTTTTGCTATGACTTCCGGCCAAATGTGGAATCACATTCGTGGGCCCCCGTATGCTCATAAAAATCCTCAGAATGGGCAAGTGGTAAGTGCTTTTTTGGTCCAGTGCATAAAAAGAACAATATCAGCACAGAGGCCTATACATTCCATTTGTACAGGAACAGGGTATAAAAATGCATGATTATTTACCCCCACGAACCCTTCTTTTGCCTCCTGCATGTATTTGATACAACAGCTTAATGGATGTTTTGTACCAGTGATCTTGAGCCAACGATTAGACTGTTACTGCAGTCTGATTTGTAAAATGGCTTCAGTTAAATTTTTCTAACAATCGTCTTTCGGGCATTCTGGTCAGGTAGGCAAAGTGCGTATACCTTGTGGTTCTCCATTTGGCCTATGATCCCCTCAGTAAAGTTTTAACCTTTGTTTTATAGTCTCCTTTTCCTGGTTTATGTGTGTGTGAGATGACAGGGTTTTTATTCAGATTCAAGCACCTTCTGTAGTGTCCAGCATTAACATAACAATATGACAATCAGCAGTAATCAGCTCATGATGTTTTCCATATGCATATTTACCCTACCCATGTGTCCAGTGCTGTTTATTCTATAATAAGTGTGTTTGAGCAAAACATAACAAGCAAAACTTACTTACTGCTTGCATAGTAATGAAAGTTGCCAAACATAGCTGGTAGTTTATTTGTCATGACATCTGAGGTTGTCTTTCTTTTGTGTATGTTCCGGCCTGTTTGACAACACCAAGCTCTCTCATCAAAGTGTGTGAAAATGTACAAAACAGATCAAATGAAAGTTGCTTTTTTTACTCTCCTAGATGCTTGGGATTCTCAATTTGCTGTTGAGTATACAGTATTTTCCCATATTCCCAAGAGCTAACCTGTTCGTTACATAATAGTTTAAAGTAGAGATTTTGTTTTGCTTCATTTTTAATAAGAATTTTCCCAGATCTCCTGAGTCTCAATCTAACTGCTATGCCACACTGTATGGTATGATATCTCTGTATGAAAGGCAATTACAGCGTGGTCATCTCCATGCTGGGAATGACTGTACCAACTGGTGGCAGATAGGTGAGATTTTCATTTGCAGTTTTGAATATATAAGGATTTACCAAAATGTGCAAATGGTTTCATATTAAGAATGGAAAGGACTTGAAATACTAAACAAGATGAATGCAAGAGAAACTGTCTGGTTGCACATACACCCTAGAAAAGAAAGCCATATTAAGAAGATATATATCTAGACCTGATATTTTGTATTATCCAGTGGTTGTAGACTTCCCATAAACTGTGTGTCCATTTTTAAAGGTGGGCAGGGAATAATAAAAATGTGACAAAGTAGGGATGGAGTTCTGGTTTAAAATGTAGCAAAGTGTGACTAGGAAAGAAGATTAAAAGATACTGAAAATAGTGTAAAGGTACTGTATTAGGGATGAGTTCTTGGTTTAACTGCTATGCATGTTTCACTATAGCTAATAAATCAAGTTGCATATGATATGCTGTTATTGCATAACTGCAAACAGTAATTTGAATTTGAGGTGCTATTCGTTGTGTGGGAGGAGTGGTTTTTATTTTTGTTTTTTGGTGGTGGGTTTTATTTTTCTGTTGTATGTGCATAGGTTTTGGAATGCAATTCCCTACTTGTATGGAAAAGTGGGACAAAGAGCTAGAAAGAAATACAGAAGATAAAAATAGTAAGAGAAACTATTGCAAGCAAACTAAATTTTGGAGCTTTGAGGTGTAGCTAGTTTTGCCTTGTTTTCCAGTGAACAGAGAAGGGCTAGCAATGGGCCATAAGCTTGCATTGTGCTATGACAAATGAGAGAGGAAAGAGTTTCGTTATTATAAAAGGTGCGCTTTTCCCAAGAGCAGTTGAGTTGGGAACATGCTAAAAATGTGATTGGTCTTCACTTCTCTTCCACCCCGCAACCCCCACTTCATTTCATGTTGAACTTTCCACAGTGCTAGAGCTTTCTTATTATTGGCTAATGGAAAATCATTTGCCTAGTCTTGCGAGAGGAAATCCATTCTTAGTTTTCTTTGATGCTTCATATCTTAATTAGATGAAGAAAAAAAAAGTGATGGACTGAATTTGATGACTGAGCGACTTGGCGGCAGAAGGATAGGAACTGATTGATGACAAAAAATGGCACACTTGGGCTGGCAGCTTTGTTATGCTGCACTTTGGCTAAGGAAGTAATAAATAAGTGTGTCACTAAAACACTGTGTTTAGGAACAGCTCGGAATTTTTTCATTACTCCATTTCAGTATTTAATTTATGATGCCTTTTATACAGAGTGACGGAAGGTGAGAAATGGCAGGGAGCAGACACTGGTACTAACAAGTACATCAGTGTGTGTGTGCTTAATAAATTGTCAGTTTTTTATAGATTCACTTTAGTTTTTCTGCCTGGAGGAGGATTGTCAAGAAAATGGAGGCTTTTTTGTTTCTGTTTGCCTTCCTGGCTTCTTTCTACCGTGTTGTTAGTCCTTGTCTGGTGACAGTTTTTCTGCTCAGGTGCTGTTTCTTCTTGTAAACCAGGAAAGACTGAGATCACAGATTGTGTTTAGAATGTGCACATAATCACTGGAGACAGGCCAATGATACAAAAAGTCTGGCCATTGATCCTTGGGTCCTTCTGGCGGCTGTACTGCTTTGAGCAGCACCTTGCCTCTGAAAAATAAAAGTTTGACAAAACACCCAGACTGTGTATTAATTGTGAGTATACTAAGAGTGCAATCCTATATATGTTTAAACAAAAAAGGGCTAGGCATGCATAGTATTGTACTTTAAGTACATCTCAGTACCTCCTCATCACCACCAAATAATCATTTTTTAAAAGCTCCGTTGCTTTTTGCCATGAAAATAAAACGAGGCTGAGAATTACATGAGGATAACAAAAAGAATGAAACCAAGGAGAAAGCTGGCACGCAACCCTTTCTTTGCTATATCGGTCACACTTATCCTGCTTTGCAGGAAATCTTCACAATTTCAGAATGACAAAGCCAGGCTGTTTTATATAGGGTAAACGTAATGTGTAGCCCAGCTTCATAGACTCCACCATTGTGGGGTGATGCCAAATTGCATTCCCAGCCCTAGAATGTCCCTGTTCCAATCTAGGGCCAGCCAGTCATATAGGTATCAGCAGATCCCTTGGCGTTTTCCCACTGTTGTCTTAAAATTTGTTTTATGACTACCTAGATGCTAGAACAATTCCTATTTCTCATTAATCAGGAGGAATTTGGAACTGATACAACTGTGATGCTAAATTCAATAGTCAAACCTTTGAACACCATAAAGATTTAGGGTTTACTATGGCGTAAGCTTTTGTAGATTAGAATCTACTTTATCTAAAACATATATGTCATCATGTAAAACCTAAAAAACGGTGGTATTAAAATGTTAGAATAGTATAAAAAGGCACATATGGTAATATGGGTACTTGTATCCTCTGAAAATAAGTAATAGGCCAAATTTCTGAAAGAAATGGGTGTGCCTCAGCACTTGATTGGCTTGCTGCATAACCTGTATGTACCAAGGACACACTGTTGGGACAGCTTATGGAGAAACAGGATGGTTTTCTATAGGCAAAGGCTGTACAAGGCAGTCTGCAGAACATAACCTAAGGAAAGCTGAATTAGGCTTAGCTGAAGACTGAAACTTGATGGAAAATACATTAGTAATTTAAGACTTGCAGATATACCATATTGCTGATCCAAGACAGGGTAGCAAGACTGTTAATGGGGACTGGTTCATGAGAACACATTATGCCAGTCTTCTAGCTGTGCTGGCTGCCAGGTGACGTCTGGGCCCGATTTAAAGTGCTACTACTAACATTCAAAGCCCTAAACAGCTTGGGAAAGAAAGTAGGGTGACAAGAAAATTGATGTGACGGAGGAGAGATTTGTGACTGCCTGGACCAATAGAAAGTCAAGCAATCAGGGACTAGATCAAATCAAGCTGCAACCTTCCCTGGAAACAAACATGACAAAACTAATAATGTCATACTTTGGACTTATCAGGAGAAGGTAATAATGTCAATATTAATGGTAATAAAGTCAGAGGTGGAAGAGGAAGACCAGCTAGGAGATGAATTGATTCCATAAAGGAAGGATTACATTTACAACAGGCTTAAGTTTACAAGAGCTGAGCAGAGCTGTCAGGCCTTTTTGGGGGGCATTCATTCATAGGGCCACCATAAGTCAGAGAGGACTTGGTGGCATATAACCACAAGAATAGGCCCACTGTGTTCAGTTTCTTCAGTGGGCTATACCAAACAGAATGGCCTGGGCACTAGTTAAAAATTATTGCACTAGAGAGATGCATGTATGTCTATATATCTTTCACAGACATCTAGGTGTCACAACCGATTCAGCAGACGTTGATTTAAAAATGGGGGGGGTGTCCCTCTTTGTTATTCTGCAGTTGTTGCATGGCCATGAGCATTTCAACACGCAAAGTCCATAAAATAGCCACCATGTCAGAAATTGACGCTTCTAGTTTAGAAGAGGAAAAATGTTCAGAATTTATCACTTGCTTATAAAAAGAAAAAGAAACCTTGCATGCCTGATAATTACTGGAATACATTGTTTTATGTATGCATCTCCACTCACACATGATTTGCTCTGACAAGGCCAACCGGTTGAGATGGAAACAAGTACCTCCTTTGAAGTATATGTGCTTTTGTTTTTATTCTTAAGCACAAGTAGGAGGTTTCCAGTGATTAGCTAGGGGATGCTGGGGTTCAAAGATTGAACCTCCAATCTTTCAGGCCTCTCTATTCAACTGGCTTCATCTCCCCCAAGGCCACGCTGTTTCTGTTCCCACAGTGAATGGCCATATTAACCTTCACATTTCTCCTGATGGCCATATTAACCTTCACATTTGTAACATTGCATCATATTTTACATATTTATGGTTGGGTTGTTTCCCTTTTTTTAAATTTGGGAACTAAGTACTAAATTCAAGTATTAGAAATACTTTGAATTTGAAAAATACCAGCACATGGCATTGTTCACCTTGTGAATGTGTTCTGTATAATTACTGTATGTGCATGGTTAATGGATTTCTTTGAA